CTCTAGAATAAATGAATTAAAAATAAATAATCTGCCAAATAGAAGCAATTATGTTTGGCTTGGATACATTATGGCTGGATTTTTTGCTCTTGGCTGGCATGCTGAAATGAATGACTCCCTAGTCATACTGAAAATTCTGGGAAAGAATGAATCTGCCCAGGAAATATCTTCCTGGAAATAATGTAGGGTTGAGTTCTAAAACAACAAAAACTAGTTGTAGTCGCACAATGATCTATTTTTCTTAGTCCTCAGCAGCATGGTAGCTATGAGTGGTATTGTATCTAAGTATTGACCAGTGGGATGTAAACAAAAATGCGTTTTACAACTTCAGGGAAATTCTGAAAAGGCATTCTTCTTCTCCTTTTGCTTCCAGCTAGAAAGTGAGAGCCTAGGTGAAAACTCCTGTCTTGTTCAAATCACTATTATTTGGAGTGCAGTGTCACAACAGGCAAATCTTCCCATCTTACAAATACATAATGCAAGAGGAAAATAATATAGAGCAGAGCTTGATGTTACATTGTGCCTCTGAAAAAGATAGAGAGTTAGGAGGCAGGCAAGAGCAGTGAAGACAGACCAGAAGGGAAATTATCCTTGACGAGAATAAAACCCTTAATTTGACAACTGTGGGAGAGACCAACTGGCATATCTATTTTCCACCTTTATCTCCTAAAGAAAATTATGACTACTGAGAAGCCCAATTCTCGGTCTGAGGCACTCATGCTATGCTGACTGCTGGGCCTCCTTAGAAATGCATGCCAATGTAAGAGGAGAGAGTGTACATTGCCAAATGAGAAGTTATAGAGTTCAGGTCCGTGAGTTCAAGCCCTACTGCTGCCAGACAAACTGGAAGCCATAGATTTATTCCTCCTGTTGATACTCCTATCATCTGACATGGGAATCTTCATCGAGTAGATGTTACCATTTTTGGGCTTTCAACATTCCAAACTGGGAGCTAAAATAAAGCCTCTTTTCTTTATAAAGTTAACCTATTCCATGGATCTCATTATAGTGACAAAAATATAGAATATTTCCAATTCCTGCTTTCCTTTTCTCATAATATGATTGTCCTTCATTTTCCTATCCATAATCTATAATTATAGAATACATCATTGTTTTTATTATTCTGAATAAACCATGTGTTATATTATTTAAGAATAAAAAACACCCACGGTTTTTTTATCCTCATTTAATCATTTCCTAAAATGGATACACACACACACACACACACACACAATTTTAAAATAAATCACGCTGAGTGCCAGTGTCTGACTGACACATGTAATCCTAGCTACTTGGAATTTTGAGAATGGGAGGACTGGAGTTCCAGACTGGCTTGGGCAGATACACTGTCTCAGTGGAAGTTAGACAAGGTGATATGTTTGTGATTCCAGGCTTATTTTACCATGCTGAGGCAAAATAACTAAAGGCCTCATGCATGGTAAGCAAGTACTCTACCACTGAGTTACATTCCCATACGCCAAATCACTAACTCAAATCAACTAAGAAGTAAAGCTAGAAGGTTCAAATGAACTTCTATGTTTGAGAGATCCATTATGAAGGAGCTGAATTCTTCTCTGACAGACTGCCTGCCATCTGAGTTGGTCACAGGGACTTACCCAGGGCATATCTTACAATGAATGAGATTTTTTTCTTGGTATCACTATATTTTCACTGTTGAATATAAAATAAATCTAAAAAAGAAACCTTGCCATTATTATGCCACACATCACACATACCTACTTGAAGTTGGCCAAAGGCAGGAATGTTAGGTATTTGTCCAACTTTAACTCAGGAATCAGACCTCACTCCAGTAGAGTTGGTTAATGTAAACAGAACTCTGCCCTCAGCAATTCACATCTAGTAAAATTGTTTCCTTTAATGAATTTGTCTGAGCTGCCAAAATATTGAACCTGGGTTCTTAATCAAGGCAAGTGGGTTTTAATTTATTTTTAATTTAAATGAAGATGTAATTTGATAATGTTTGTCTATTGTGGTTATTGAGATAATTTGAAGTGAAGGGTATGGTGGATTGATAAGAAGATGGATGCCTAAGGTGGTGGCCTGGAACAGGAGGAAGAAATGCCAAGTATGGTATAGGGTATTTCTTTGATCACCCCAGTGATCAAAGATAGGCCAGCTGTTAGCCAGGAGGGAACAGATCTCCTTTCCTTTTCCTTTATTTATCTCTGTCATATCTTGATGTGCAAAAGAAGAGAGGTGAGGAAACAAACCAGAGTTTCTGGTGTCCCTAGAGATGTATAAATTAAAACTATAAATAAGCTAGCTTGTAAAAAGTAGATAGCTGCTGTTGAAAAGATTGGACCATTTGTACTATATACAAAAAAGAGAATTTACACTAAATATGTGCTCTTATCGTAATAGTTTTTGCTAAGCCATACACAGGGTGTTGTAATTCTAACAACACATTTACTCCCACACAGAGTTTTGAGGCTTTTTCTTTCTCCTCACAAATCTGTAGAAGACAGTTTTATCACTGGGTAAAGCAAGAGTCTATGCCACCATTTAATGCAGACAGGAGTAAGGGCTCATTTGGTTTCAACACATAATCACTTCACTCTTTGTTGTGACACCACTAAGAAAGTTTCCCATTCATTGTTATAACAACATATTTATTTCTTTTCTTGAACAACAAATCATTTATAATAAATCAACATTTCATTATCTCTAATTTTCAGAATAGGATGCAGGTTTGGCTTCTTGTTGCTTTACAAAATTTGGGATATCTGCTGAAAGGCTAAGGGAAAGGCTGAAAGAGTCATGCAAGACTCATTCATTTCTGTGTGAGTCTAGCTGCTGAAAGAGTCATGCAAGGCTCATTCATTTCTGTGTGAGTCTAGCTGAACTATTGGCAGAAACACCCGCAGGATCAATAATAAATAAAAGTATGAAATTCATTTTTCTAATCTTTGAATGGACCTCCATCCTGCATTAACACTGAAAGGTCATGTCACCCTTTTTTATTAAATAATTTTTATTGAGATTAAGTGATTATGTAAATTACACAGTATTGTGGGATAGTGATATTTAAAGTTACAAACACATTTTAAACTTCACAAGGAAAATCATCATTATCATGGTCTCTAAAGTTTGTGAATTCTACAAGCTTTAACAATACAACTGTCTCTTCTCAAACTGGGTGATGAGTACGTTTCTTTCCTTTTGCTTAGTGAAAACTGTTCCCTCTTTCTTGCTAATTCCCTCTCTCCCATCACTGTCCTTGAGTTGCTTAGTTCATTTTTATCAATGTCTAACGCAGCTGATGGGCCCCTCAGTTGCATTGTTTCCTGTTTCCCTCTTATTCTGTGCTCTCCTCTTAGCTTCCCTCAGATGCATGTCATCTATCTTCTGAATTAGTTCCATGTTTTATATAAACATTGATACATTATGACTAACTAAACTTTATATTTTTATCCTGATCAGATATCAATTGAAGTTAGTCTCAATAGTCACCACTTGGATCTGAAGGTTTCTCAGACTTTTCTCTTGGTGATCTTGACTGGAGGAGTACTAGTCAGCTATTTTGCCTGCTATCTTTCTCATAATTAACAAGGATTATGAAATTTTAATATTCTTTTCAGTTTCCAGAATCTACCAAATTAAACATGTGTTGTATTTCCTCATCTTTTAAAAAATTCTTTACTTTCCTTGTGAAAGGAAATTGTGCAGCACAATTCAAATTATATCACATGGCATACAATGCCTTTTAAAATTTGTCTTCTTCAGTTGAAAATACTACCCTATATACTATTAGAGCTTTGGCTACAAATTAGTCTTAACAGTCTTGAAATCCCCTGGCTCCACAGTCAGTCTTGGCTTATTCTGGTAGAATCCATCTTTCTGTAATTATGTTCATTTATACTGCTCTTCTTTTACCTCCAAAATCCTCACCTCCAACCCAATTTTCAACACTCTTCTTCTACATACTACCCAAATTTTCTAATCTACCATTTAAGATTCATTCAGTGAACATTTATTGTGTATTTCTTGAAGGCATGTGGATAGTTGAGAATATGTTAAATAAAAGAAGATAAGGTCATTGCTCTCACTGAGTTTCATTTTAGTGGGGTGGAAAATATAGCAAAGAGATCAAACTGTCCTTTGTTATGAAAGAAAGAAGGAGCTATAAGTAAGTCCAAATATTGTGGGAGTACAGTGTTCTCAAAGAAGCCTGGGATCTCCTCTGAAGAAATTGTAAATGTTTCTAGCTGACACCCTTTCCTTCCGCTTAGCTGAGGAAAGAAACATTCTCATTCAGTTTTATGTCTAATCAGCCTTAGTTTGTAAATTACCAATTGTGGAATAAAGTTGTTTTAAAAAAAGGAGGCACTCACAAGTTTCCCATCAGCAGTTTCTGAAAAGAGTTATTTTGCACAGCGTTGATCTCATTACATTTCACCGTTGTTTATTCTGGATCTACCTTTAAGACAGACAACTTTCAAACCTATGCTTTAGTAAAACAACACAGCCCTAAAATTTCCATTTGCTCAAGTATGGTAAATTCCAACCGTCATTAGGACAGTCCTACTTTACACAAAATTTAGAGGGAAATTTATTTTTCCAAAACTAGTCCTGTTCTATTTTCATTTTATTTTTCTGGGGTTGAATGGATCAGGGAAAGCCAGATAAACCATGAGCAAGAGTGTAGAGAATTTACTGTAAGGATATTGAATGAGTTTTGAAATTCTGCTTGCAGAACAAGGGCTGGGGGTGGTTTATCTTTTAAGGATACCCATGCAGTCTTCAGAAGGAAGGCTGAGCACAGCCCTTGTACAGAAAGAAAAAGATGGAGAGAGAAGAGACATTGAGGAAGGGAGAAGGAAAATCAAGGACATGGCCCTCCATAGTTTCTACTGTTTTCCTTCCACTAATCCACTCAGCTCCCCAGGAACCAAACTAAGGGCCAGGCCCCGCCCACTTCCGAGTTGTCATTGCTGCCGTCGCATGCGTGATGACGTTTTAGCCTCTCTCAGACCCCGGAAGTGCAACTTGAACTTGGTCGCGGCACGGATCCCGTGAAGGAAAGTCCTCCCCGCCGCCCGGAGTTGCACTCGCGAGCTGGACGGCCAGGCCTCCCCGACCCTTCCCCCTCAGTCCTGCAGCTGGGGGCAGAGCTCAGGTAGGAGCTGGGTGGGCGAAGAGGAGCGCTCCGGAAGAGGCCTGGGTTCAAACCCGAGCCGGGGGCTGGGCTGGTCTGTCTGGGAAGGGGAAGGAGATACCCCTAGGGCCCAGCTGTCAGAAATCACGCTGCCTGGGGCCTGCTCCCGGGCCCCTCGACGGACAGCCCCCCCCCCGCCATTCTACTCCCCAATGTGGGGGTGACATGTGTATTCCTGGGGCGCTTCACGGTCTAAACGAGCACTCGATGTTCTGGGAGCGCTGAGGACGCCTGAGAGTCCTGGGCCTTGACTTTCTCACGGGGGCAGCTATTGAAAAATCTCTCGTACAAGTGTTTGATGTTGTTTGTGCAAAAATGTGTTAACTGCCAAAAGCTGTATCAGGGAATCTGTTCCCTGCAGAGAGATGAAAGCGCCGTTAGAAAACGCTCTCGGACCCTCGAACATGCGCGCACATTGGTGGGGAGTTTTACCGGGATGCCATAAGGGGTCTTAGAGGAACACTTTTGTCTTTGAAATAAAAGTCACGTGTGTTTTGGAAGCAGTCTTTTCTCATCCAGGTTCTTAACATGCTCTCTTAAGTATTCCAAGGGTTGTGTATCTGTTGGACTTAGTAACTGGTTTTGGCCCTATTGAAGGACAAGCAGTATTGTGTGCTTCTCCATTTTCCCAAATCCTTAAAAAAGCTGTGGAGTGAAACGTGTGTGTGTGTGTGAGAGAGAGAGAGAGGGGGGGGAGGGGGGTCTGCAAAGCCCTTCTAATGTTTTTTAAAACGCGTGCAATGAGATGGTGGTTACCCGGTTCATGGTTTTTGCCTCGAAGATGAGTCAAAGCTATATTGCTTGTTCTTATTTTGTATCCCTTCTGGTGAAGGACAGGTATACTGTATTTGTTTAGAATATTTAGAAACTGAATCTTAAAGCACTTTTTGAAGTGGCAAATTAACATCTTGCTTTCAGTACTAAGTACTAGGCTTCCTTCTTTTTTTGGTGAGAGTCCTGGAGCCCCACTCAGGGCCTGTGCGCCGTCCCTGAGGTTTTGTGCTCAAGGCTAGCACACTACCACTTGAGCCACCGATCCACTTCCAGTGTTTTGGTGATTATTCAGAGGAGATAAGAGTTTCAATGGACTTTTCTGCCCTGATCTGGTGATTCTCATATCTCAGTTTCCTGATATGACAGGAGGATTGCAGACATGAGCCACTGTTTCCCAGTCTTTCTGGCTTTTAAATTAGGTATATTTCTTATCCAATGAAGTCCACCTTGCAGAGCCAGGGTAACCGTGGGTGGCTTTTAGGCTGTGGATGCTGTAGTACTTGTAAATAATTACCAGTACTCAGGTAAATGTCTGTGAAACTGTAAGCATCCATCCATTCATTCATTCATCCATTTGAACATCTTCAATATGCATGGTAATGTTCAAAGCACTGAGAAAACCTTAGAGAAGAAAATAGGATGTCCTTATGCGCTTGGAGTTTTCATTCTGATGTGTGAAGGGCCATCAATAAGTAAAATGTAAAAAAAATGTGGCAAAAAGATCTAGAAAAAGAAAACAAAAGGAAGAGAGAATGAAGAAAATGCTATTTTAGATAGGATGGGCAGGCTTAGCATCTTTAAAGGAGACATTTGTGTAGAGACCAGAACGAAGTGTGGGAATGATCTCTGTTGGTATGTCAGTGTGTATTAGGCTAGCACGAACCTTACACATTCTTACTGCTTAAAAATCTTGTGAATATTGCCGGGCACCAGTGGCTCACACCTGTAATCCTAGCTATTCAGGAGGATGAGATCTGAGGATCATGGTTCAAAGCCAGCCCAGGCAGGAAACTCCATGAGACTCCTATCTCCAATAAACCACTAGAAAACTGGAAGCTCACCTTGAGCTGAAGAGCTGAGGGATAGCGCCCAAGCCCAGAGTTCAAGCCCCATGACTGACAAAAAAAATCTTGTGAATATGAGTTGTTGTGTGCAGTTTGATTGTTCTACAACTGTCATTCCTGTTCTTCAGACCGTTATCTTCCCTAGCTGAAACTCTATCAATTAAACTTTAATGCACTGTTCTCAACTCCCTTCTGTTCATAGAACAACAAGTGTGCTATCTTTAGCTGTGAATTTGAATACTGTGGGTACCTCTTTAAGGCCAATATTGTAGACATGCAACACTGTCCTTTTGACTTCGTTTAGAATGTCTTCAAGTTTCATCTGTGTTAAGGCTTGTGACACAATGCATTTTCTTTTTAAGGCTGGATATAATTATATATTACTTTTTATTTATCCATTTGTTTATCTGTTCATATGTGGAATTTCTTCCGCTTTTGTTACTGTAAATAATTCTTTCTGATATGTGTGTTAAGTATCTGTTCTCAGCTTTCCATTTTTTGGTGTATCTACTCAGGAATGAAATTGCTAGATTATATGGTAATTTGCTATACTTAGAATCTTAAATGTTCCCCCAAAGGCTCATATTTTAAAGGCTTGGTCTCCAGAGAGGCACTATTGGGAATTGGTGAAACTGTTAGGAAGTGGAACCTAGCTAACTGAGGGTCTGGCTCAAATGATAGAGCACATGCCTGCCAAGCTCCAGGTCCTGAGTTCAAACCACAGTAACACATACGTATGCATGTGTGTGCATGCACACACAGAATAAGAAGAGTCTAGTAGGATTTTAGTTTATTGAAGTTATATCCTTGAAGTGGATAGTAGAATCTTTCAGGCCCTTTCCTCCACTATGCTTTGCTACCTGGTTATCAGCTAGTGGTTTGCTCTGTAACCTGCTCCATTCTTACCATAGGTCAAAGGCAATGTGTCCAACATCACATACTGAAACCTATAAAACTGTGAGGCAAAGAGTCTGTTCTCATTGTAAGATTACCTTAGTATTTGATGTAGCAATTGAAAACTGAATAATGCAAATTTTGTTGAATTTATTTTAGGAATTGATACCACAGTGGCTACTCCACCAGCAATATCCAGGGATTACAATTTCTCTAAAACATTACCAGCATTTTCCCACATTCTCACCAAACATATTATATATATTTGGTGCTGGCCTTGGACCTTGAACTAACGGTGCTGTCCCTGAGCAGCTTTTGCTCAAGGGTAGCACTCTAACACTTGAGCCACAGCTCCACTTCTATCAGTTTTTTAGTAATTTATTGGAAATAAGAGTCTCATGGCCTTTCCTTTCCAGGGTAGCTTTGAACTGTGATCCTTAGCCTGAGTCACAACACTTAGCCAACACACACACACACACACACACACACACACACACACACACACACACACACACTCATCTATATCTATATCCATATCTATCTCTCTCTATATAAATGTCCATTCACATGGGTATTATTAGATCAGGAGTATCTGTTTTTTATTTGATGAATGGTGATGTTAAGTTTCTTTGGTTAACAGATATTATTTGGTTCTGTTAATTTTTTGTTTTTGAGACAGGCTCTCACTAGATAGCTTTAGTTGGCCTGGAACTCTGTGCAGCACATAATCCTCTTGCATAAGTGCTCAACCATAAGATCAGGTTTTAATAAACAGATTTTTAAGATTTATCCACCAAGTTTTTAGAGTTGGGTTGCCTTTTAAGATAGCAGCTATCCTGTTTCTTGTTGTTTTTTAAACCCTGAAATAAATATAATTGTAAAAACTCTCAATTGTATAGACATACTACTTGCAATAATGCCAGACCTATAAATAATTAAAAAAAAACAAAACCTAAAATCCTTAAGGCATCTTTTATACAATGAGCAAACTTTGTTACACCAGATTGTGATGAAAATAGTTCAGGAAAGCCAAAGATCATCCTGACCTACTTCGTTTCATTCTTTTTAATTGGAAGAAAGGAGATATATAGATAGGATAGCTATATCTATGAAATAGACTTCTTTTGTTGGCCTCTTGAGAGGCAGGAAGAATAAACAGAAAAGTCAACATATTGTGAAAAAACAGAGAAAAGATAGGTTGGATAGAAACCTAGCAGGAGGATGTGACTTGATGGGCAGTGGCAAAGGAGCTCAGTCTCAGTGATAAACAGTGAGCACTGTAACTGACAGCAGAGGAGAGGTGAGCCAACCACAAAGTGACAGAAATGAATACAGATCCACTAGCTGGAGTGGGATGGAGAATAAATGAAAGTAGGCAAAATGCCTACTCAGAATGTGTGCTGCAGGGGAACATTTGCCCTGCGTAATGCAATCAAGTTTACTGTATATCACGTAGAACTTGACAAGTCATATGGTCAACAGCATAATTTGGAAGATACGCAGTGTTATATAGCCCTACAAAAATAAACTTAAGTTCGTCAGACAATTGGAGTTAATCCTAGATAGTACAGATTAATAATCTCTAATGCAAAAAACCTATATCCCACATGTTCTGAAATTAAAAAAAAATTGAGCATCTACTATGATACCTAAGCATTTCAAATTTTGTATTTGGGTTAGGGATGCTTATTCTGTAAAATGAAAATATTCCAAAATTTGAAACACTCTAATGTCTGCAACACTCTGGTCCCAAACATTTTGGAGAAGAAATATGAAGCCTGTAATGTTATACCCTTTTATCTATTTATCCAAGTGTAAATATGATATTTTATGAGTTTTTTATTATTTATAAGTTTTTTAGTGTGAAAATACTGTACAGAGAGGTTACAATTACACGAGCAAGGTAATAAGTACATTTCTTATCAAGCATTGTTGCCTCCTCCTTTGTTTTTCCCCTACCATCCCTGCCCTCCCATCTCCACCACTATACTCCCCACTCTCCCCCTCCCCCCCCAAGCCAAAGTTGTAAAGTTTGCTTTACAACATAGCATTTTGTTCATCTCATTCTTGTAATGGATCCATCTGTATACCTATTTAAACAATTTGTTTTTATTTTCCTTCCCCTCCCCAAACTATCCCAACATCAAATACAGTAAAAACAGGGGTTATACTGTGGGGGAGGGACATACAAAGCAACAAAACAATCACCTTATAAATATGTTAGAAACA